CTGACCTCATGGGATATGGACTTAACACCTTTTAAATAATCTGTCCTATGTTCTTTTTGGTATAATTATTATATATATATAGTTATATATGTATATATATAGTTATATATAACTATATATATATAATTATATATAGTTGGCATTCATTGCACAATTTTTTTCAGATTAAAAAAAACTCGGTTTACTAATTATTTTTTTTAACACAGTTTAAGAATTTGACATGTTGAATTTAAATACTGATCACTAATTGCCAGACAGTAATTTAAGCATTTTATATAACACCTGTAATTCTCATAATAGCAGTAATAGTTGTCCTCTTTTTGCAGTGAGGAAACTGAGGCACAGAGAATATGAAGTATGTGTGGAGCTGGGATTTGAACCCAAGCAATCTAGCTCTAGAATCTGCTCTTATCTCCCCCCTGAAGCTTGCTTTCTATAGTCTCTTAAAGGCTTTTATCATAAAAATGTGATTCATGAAGTTGGTATAATACTAATGTCTATTGAAGAATAATGCTATAAATTTTAGACGTTGTTTCCAATTTCATCACTTATGAAGTAAGAGGTTTGCACTGGTTCTTACTTCCTGATCATAAAATCAGCAGAGACTCTTGATAAAATAGATTTCTAGTCTCTGTTCCTAACAGGTAAATTCAGAGCTCTATGAGAAGAACTCTGGAAATCTCTCTCACAGTGGCCTAGATGAATCCTCTGATCAAGCAAGCCCCTGACATCTTAGACTAGATTAGAGCTCTTAAAACTAACAACATCTTTGTTTTCCCTTTTTTGGTACATATTATAGATTATTACCCTATTTACATAATAAAACCTTTATCATAAGCACAGAGGTTTTGGATATACCTTAAAGCAAATTATTCATTATTAACTCCCTTTTCCCTTTGATTCTCATTTTTTAATGGATAAATGAGGTATACTCCAGCTCTGTGGTAATGTCCAGTTGGCCTAATAATTGATTAAGAGGGTATGGCCATGAAGACCACTCCATAGTTAGTATAGATCCTAATGCTATTGTCCTGAGGCTGGGTCTTCTGAAACACCATTGGGTTAAATATGCAGTGCTTTATGAGAACACTGAACAAACAAAATCTAAAAGTTCTAAAACTCTGCATCCTCATGGGTAACATTTGCTTTCATGCTTGATCTTTCCATCCAAGAGTTTAAAATTCTTAACTCATTTTATCATTGACTGAGACCTTGATTTTCAGCCATGTGGTTGGTTTCAATGAAACTGTTAGATGTCTTACTGACATTTAGACACTCACTGTTGTAGGGGTATGAAACCCTGGTGACAGGTGGCAAGTGTGTTTCAGGGGCTTACATGTTGGCTCACTTTTCCTGGATGGCTCTTTAGTAAGAGAGATTGGTCAAGGCAGGGCACCTCTTGGTGTACTTCAATTTGTACCCCATCTGCTGCTTAGTGGCTAAGATTGTTACCATAAAGACTTGTTGTATCAAGTTAACCCATGTTTCATCTGTCTCCACACTGGTGTTTGGGAACTAACTTTGGGAACTTAGTTAAGTTGCCTCTGGAATGTCTGAGTAGTCCCCAGTGTTATCTTCACTTCGACATAGTATACTAGCTTTATTCCCTTATTCTCCTACCCCAGAAACATCCCAAGATTAAAATCTTGTAGCAACAGTTGTTTGTTCCCTGAATAATCCCCATACTAGCTTTATTCATGGCATTCCTGCTGCCTGGAATATGCGTTCCTCCCACCTCTCCTTCTCCTCACATCTAAATTAACAGCTTCTTTATGAAATTCTGTGATTTCCCATCTCCCCTCAGTGGAAGGTGAACTTCTTCCTTTTAGCATTCATGGTATTACTTTATCTTTTGCCCAATGTATTGATTTATGATATTATTCATAATTATTTGTCCTGTTATCTTCAGTTTCCTTATTCTGCTATTCCAAGTATATTTGCATTTCTATCCCCTGTGTAAAGCTGTTTTACTAAAATTCCATCCCTCTTGAGGTTCCATCTTTGCAGATGGGTTTTTGGGTGGATTAGATTCTACTGTATAACATGCCCTCAATCAGCCTCTTTGTTGTGGTTTTCTTCCAAGCCAGAGCTGTCTTTAATATCCCCTGCCTTTTTGTGTAGTCTTTCATCCACACAGCTAAACACAGGGTCCTGAAACCATACTGATCTTAAAAGTCACAGAATTTCCTGCTTTTCTAGCTCCTAAAATCATTTCTGACCCTGTTCCTAAAATGCATTTGTTAAAAACAGCATCTTCTATCCTCTACATTTTTATACTTTTTGCTAGTGATTTATTATTTTGTTTTGAATAAGTTGCATTTTTAATTGCTGTAAGATTAATTTATTAAAATTCAGCAAAACTAAAGGGAAGAGGAAATGGCAGCAGTGATTTTGTTTGACTCTTAGTTTTTAGCTCTTCAGTACACTCAGCTGTTGTCCTCACGTAAAACCAAGGCCTAAAAGCAGAACCAGATGACTGTTAAGTCCTGAATAGTATCTGTGTCTTCCCTAGGCATCCTTTCCCCAAATGTTTTTATTTTCTATTTATTTTTCTCTACCCTTCAGTTGAATCACATCCTCTAGGACAGGCTTATTGCTGTGGGCTCCAAAAGAGCCTCTCTCTCTCTCAATTCTCCTTCTGTTCCAACTGCTACCTTTTGGAAATGGGAAGAAACAAAAAATTTTACTGTTAAGGAAAAAAACCAAAGGGCAAGGGGGAAACCGCAGTTTGGTTATTTGTTGTCAGACGACATTAGTTGGACTGAAGATTTTTTAAGATTCCAGTATCTCACAAAATAAAAATTCTGGAGCTGTGATCCCAGAAGCAGCATATTCATGGCTTAGTATTTACTCTTAATGTAACTCTGGCTCTAATCCTTTATTGTTTGTAGGAAAAAAATACATACTGATTGCCTTCTTCTGGATAAAACTACCAAACGAGCTATGAGTTATAAACTACATCTAACTGCCAAAGTAGCCCATAGCATTGGAGATAAAACTTCATTCGCTGAGTAGAGTGGAGTAATGCTCCCCAGAACCACAAAACCAGACTGTGCTGATAGAGCTTCAAGAATCTCATCTTCTAAAGAGACAAGGGGGATCAGGCAGGTAAAAAGAGACCAGAAAGAAGAGAGTACAGTGTGAGCTAGTGAGGGGAGGCTTAACATTTTGTTTTCCCAAACCCCTAGCCCAGCCACTTAAAAAAATTAGCTTCATAACATCAGGCAAATTGAGCTTCCCTGAGCCCTAGTTTGCTCATTGGTAAGATATGGAGATAAGAGTGACAGGGCTGTTGAGAGGTCTGCATGGCATAACATGTCTGAAGCACTTCATACCATGCCTCCTGTTTCTTACTTTTAATTATTCATGTACTTTGTTATTTTATTATTTTTCTTTATTTGCTCACACGAGAGCATAGTGGAGTGTGCAAATCTTCCAAAGGTACCTGCAAAGTTTTAGGCATTATTTTCCTATGAAAGAGACCTCGTTTTGAAGCCCGGCTTGGCAAACTTGTTTAGTAAGATCAGTGGCTTCAGAGGTGAATTGTGTGTGACACAGGAAAGGGGAAAGGGAGGAGCAGGTACTGTTCAGGAGTTGGTGGCATAGTCTCGAGTTCTGTCTCCTCGCTCTTCTTTTTGCCATGATCTGACTTTCTGCTTGCTACCTCCCCTGACACGTCTCCTCCCAAACACAGCTGTCCTGTGTTTGACTTGCAAACCACAGTCTGAAGCATTATTTTGCTTTTAAATAAGTTAAACACAAGAATTGCTGAAGCCAGATTAAGAGCGAAGTTCTTTGACTATGATACTGAAAAGATCTGCTTTTTAACTGTAAAGTTGCTATTGTAAGGTTTGTTACATAAATTAACAGGTTTACATATATTTTAGGTCCATATTTTTACATTGGCTTAATTTACATGGGTTCTGATAAGTACCAATACTTTAACCTTGTAACTTAGGAAAACAGCAAGGACATATAAATTCAGAGAAATCAAATAAGCTGTTATCAAGCTTTAAATTTTACTTGTAAGTAATTGAATGATTATCTAGCACATACTATATGCCAGGCACTGTCCTAGGCAACAAATAAAACAGACAAAAACTTTGCTCTCAATTAGCAGTCAGTTGCTAAACTCATTTCCTTTTCTTTAGGGTATTTTCGTTGTCTGCATTTTAGAGCTGCAAAGTGCCTTAGAGATCATCTAGTCCAACTTCTCTTTCAAATGGAGAACCTGAGCCACTAATTCACAGGAGAGTAAAAGAGACTTTAGCAGACAAGTTCAAGTAATGACAGCAGACTGTAGGAAAATCAGCACAAATTGTGAGAATTCAGTATTGTTAGCATCATAAGTATGAATTTAGAAAAGGTATAAGTTATAAGAAGAGTTCACTTGTGTTAATATAAATGAAAGATTCTATGTTATCCTCAAGTTAAAATCAAGTGATGTCTTTTTTCCTCTTTAACGCTATAGTGAAACCAATTTTGTGTCATGCTAAATGTATAGTTTTCTGTGTATAGACTCAAACTTTTCAAAAGCAGCTGTACAAGATGATGCTGTTTCTGAGTGTCTAGGTAGTGCTGACAGAAATAATGTGCCTTCCTGCCTTAATAGAATCATAGCAGTTGAGATTTGGAATTTAGACCCCTTATGTCAAGGATGAGGAGATTGACTCGCAAAGAGGTTAAATTGACTTGCCCAAATAAGAGCCAAATCTAGCAACTTCTATTTAAGCAAGGAGTCAGGTATTTTATATTAAGATCACTGTATTTTGATATTCAGATATCAATTAATTTTCAACTTTAAGTGATACAATTTTGTCATCAGACTTGCTGAGCATTGGCCTTATTTTTTAAATAAGAGACTATCCGAGAAATTGACAAAAAAAAAAAAAATTGATGAAGTTGCAGATACTAGAACCAAGTCTCTAGGAGTATATCTTTGATGCTAAAGATCTACAATATTCTGTTGCTGGTCACAAATAATTTTTCCCCCATAATAGGTATTGTCTTCTGAGAACTCTGAAGCAATGTCAGACATTGAGGGAAGCTCTCATTGCTGCAGGAAAAGAGATTATATGGCATGGGCGGACAAAAGAAGAACCAGCGCATTACTGTAGCATTTGTGAGGTAAGTAACTATTGTTGTCCAGCGTTGTTCTATAAAGCCTCTTAACTCTCTACTTTTGGTTTCTCTTTGGCTACTTTTATTTTAAATTTATAAATTTGTAAGTCTATAAAATTTATAAAGAATACTTATACTCCTATCCTGCATCTTACTGAAATTGGCATTATATTCAATCTTGTTATTTTCTTGTTACCTAGCTATTACATTAAAATTTAGTCTCATGACTTACCATTTCACTAACAGTGAATTGACTCTTAAAGTAATTATGACAGAGTCATTTATCTGGTAGATGTTTAACAAATGATAATCATCAAGAAGTTTAGTCTTGAGATTTTAAACTGGGAATAATCCAGATGTAAGCTGATGAAAGTAAACTGGATGTAGTTCAGTATAGCTCCAGGCAGATTAATGCTCAGCCTCTCTGGTGCAGTTCATAGAACATTGGTCAGTCTTCTGTGGCCAAGGCTTGCAAGAGAAGCAGTAACAAATACTAATGTAATACCTGTTCTGAAGGAGCTTACATTCTACTCAGAGAAGACAAATTATAAACAACTAATTATAATGTACGTAGGACTGTGGTGAATGCAACAGAATGAATGGATCTTACTGTTGGGATAACACCGAGGGGGAAAATGACCTAATTTTCACTTCTAGTATTGGCATAAGAATTCCCCAAAGTACTAACATCCTTGAAGGATGAGTATGACTTCAGTGGGCTAAAAAGTGATGAGAATTGGAAGTGGAGCGAATGTTATTATGAGCTAGCTGTAGGCACAACATGGGAAATGAAATGGCTTGTTCGGAAAAGGGTAAGTAGTCTGGTGTGGCTGGAATACAGACTATACAAATTCAACCTACAAGTCTAGGTGGGAGGAACCTTTACAGAGCATCTCAAATGATTTTAAGGAACTTGATACTTATTCTGAGGTCGTTGAAGCCATCAAAAGAATGTTGAGCAGGCAGCCATGTTGGATATGTGTTTGAAAGAGAAATGTGATTGGAGAAAATGGAGGTAGGAAGCTGTTGCAGTGGTTTTAAGAAAGATTTGTTATCTTTACGCCTACATGAGATTGCAATGGGAGTATTAAAGAAGGAGAGGAATTTAAAAATATTTAGAAGGTAAAATCCACAAGACAGCTCATTACATGGCAGAAGTGAGGGACAGGTCGAAGAATGCTCACAAATTGTCTGGCTCAGGTCACCAGGTTCATGTTGTTGCCTACTGATAGTAATGATAGAGTCGTGAACACTGGGATTTTAATTAACACACTGTTCAAAGAAAATAGGAGGTGATGAGAGGTTTCTGTCATTGAATAAATTCAAGGATACACCAAAGCCAAGGGTATCAGTGATCCATTCCAAACATTGAAATTCTGTATTCAGACATTGACTTTTATTTGAAATGATTGACTCCATCAGCTGTTTTAATGTTGTGCAACCTGCAAAGTTAAATCTTTGAGAGATCAGATAGGTTGTGGTTAGGTTTGTTAAACCTCAGAAAAAAACCGAGATGAATGAATAAACTTTTCAGAATTTCAGAATGACTCCTGTCCCTTAGTGTTATTTTATCCCACCTGAACCATAGCAGCTCATCAGTCTTTCTGTAAAAGGTAGAGGTATTATTTCTAAAATCATGCTATACTCATGAATGTACCTTTTGCTTATACGCCTGTTCCTTAACATGAGGCTTATAGCTGAATGCTCACCTGTCAGTTTCCTTGTCTGTAGTAAATCAGATTATATTTATTCAATGAGTGTGTTTTGAGTGTGTTTTGAGCATAGCTCTGTGCTATGTTTTGGAGGTGCAAAAGTGAGTAAAACATAGTCATCTTTGAGAAGTTCAGTCTATGGGAGAAGACCACTATCCACACCCAGTGCTCTGTGATGAGTACTGTTACAGAGAAGTAAATGGAAAGTGACAATCACTTTCTTCTGATTGTATACCATTGTTTCAGATTTAAAACAAAAACTGGCTGACCTTGATCAACTTTTTTTCTTTTTTAATATTTTATTTATATTTATTTGACAGAGAAAGAGATCACAAGTAGGGAGACAGGCAGGCAGAGAGAGAGGGGTAAGCAGGCTCCCTGCTGAGCAGAGAGCCCGATGCCGATCCCAGGACCCTGAGATCATGACCTGAGCCAAAGGCAAAGGCTTAACCACTGAGCCACCCAGATGCCCCCTTGATCAACTTTTAAATTAGGCTTTTGCGAGCGGTTGTAAAGGGTTTGTCATTTGCATTACCACTTTGGGTTTGGTGCAAAATAAACCTGGTCTATTAAAGATTCTCAAACATGGCCATGTTTGTGTTAGTACCTACTCTTAACCAGAGATCACTGTCCACAATTCCATGTAAAGTAGAATTCTATGGTTATACTAAAACAGTACAATAAATAAATACCATTCTCTCTATTGAACTCTTTTTCTCTTGCATAAAATAGGTGGAGGTTTTTGATCTGCTTTTTGTCACAAATGAGAGCAATTCTCGAAAGACCTACATAGTGCATTGCCAAGATTGTGCACGAAAAACAAGCGGAAACCTGGAAAATTTTGTGGTGCTAGAACAGTATAAAATGGAGGACCTGATGCAAGTCTATGACCAATTTACATTAGTAAGTGAAATCAGCATGTGAGTACATACTTAGCTGGATAGGGAAGCAGCAGTGTTTGTTCTGCCACCTGATAAGTAGGAGGTAATGAAATATTTAAATTTTCCTTTTGCTTGTTAGATACTACATGAGGAAGTACTTATATCATTCCCCTCTCCTTCACTTCCAAGTGTTTATGCCTATAAAATTGGCATATTTCATTTTCAGTTTTCTTGCTGGGTGAGTCCAAGCCTAAATGATGTCACCATAATTACATTTTAAAATCTTTCTGTGCTTTTAGAACACTATCCTATCCTTTATGCCATTTGATATCAGTTGATAAAATGTGTACATAGGGTTAGTAGTGTCCACAAAATGATTCAGTAAGTGTGGTCTTAAATAGAATTCTGCTTTTAGAGCTAATTATATGTATTTAAAATTCTGTCCTTGCCAGAAGTATTAACCTTATGGGAATATTTGATGGAGCTTAACTTCCTAATACATTATATAACCTTATGAAGCTCAGGTATACTTACAAATATTACACAGTTTTTAATTTTAAGCAGCAAATGCTTAGATGGAAGCATTTTACTCTAGCACATCAATAGTTTCATGAATAGAAACACAAATACGATTTATGAATTGTTGATTTCCTCCAGTACTTTTCTCTGCATATATGATCAAAAACCGAATTATTGAAATTTAGCTCCTAGTTTCACTTAAGTGGTCTTTAAGATTCCTTCAAGAAGAAGAAAATTATCCGGAATATGTTAAACAAAATATATTATCTCGTTGAGAAAGCTTCTGAAGCCAGTCACTAATGAAATTATAATTGATTTATGAAACCATTTTCCGTAAGCCTTTTTTTTTTTTTTTTAAAGCAATCTAAAAAATGGTCAACCTAATAACATCCTAAGAGCTTTTAACTAATGGGGAAGTACAGAAAAATGTGGGCGCACTGAGGAGAATAATGGCCTCGGACCCTTAGGAAAATTGGCCAGAGGGGAGACAGTAGTTAAGGGAGGTTCTGTGTTGACATTGTGTAGCAGGCTGTTAAACTTTCTTTTGAGAATTGTTCCTTCCCCACCTTCATAAGCAGACGGTGTTTGTAGCCTTGAGCTAGGAAATGCTATTAACCATTTGTGTGCCAAAGTAACATACCTTTTATTTTCAGGCTCCTCCATTACCATCCTCCTCATCTTGATATTGTTCCATGGACATTAAGTGAGACCTTTTCTGCTATTCAGGAAGTAACTCAGTTCTGCACCACTGGTTTTTGTAGCTATCTCGTAAGGCTGCTGGCTGAAAACTGTGTCTTGCAACCTTCCAAGTGCGGAGTGTCAACCAACTGGACAGGGGAGAGCACTGCTCCTACTCCAGGACTCTCACAAAGTGATCAGCTGTACTTCAGAAAAAAATAATAAATTCCATGTTTTGTATATATCTGACAAAACTGGCAACATCATACAGACTACTGACTTGAAAACAACCTCTTTTATATTTCTCTATTTCTGGGCTGATGAATTGGTTTTCATCTATCTTTTCCCCTTCAGAATTTTCCTTGGAAAAAAAATATTAGCCTAGCTGGTCATTTCTTTGTAAGGTAGTTAGCAATTTTAAGTCTTTCTTTGGTCAACTTTTTTTTAATGTGAAAAGTTAGGTAAGGAACTTTTTTACTGCTTTTATGTTTTTCTGTCTTGTTTTGAAACCATGACGGTTATTACACTTTTGGTTCCTAAATAAAATGTTTAAAAAATTAACAGCCAAGTCACAAAGATAATGGATTGCACATAGACTAAGGAATAAACTTCAGATTTGTGATTTTTGTTTCTAATCTTGATGTAAATTTACACTATTTATAAATACATATTTATTGCTTGAAAATATTTGTGAATGGAATGCTGTTATTTTTTCCAGATTTACCTGCCATTGAAATTTTAAGGAGTTCTGTAATTTCAAACACTACTCCTATTACATTTTCTATGTGTAAATAAAACTGCTTAGCATTGTACAGAAACTTTTATTAAAATTGTTTAATGTTTAAAGAGTTTTCTATTGTTTGAGTTTTAAAGAGACTTTATGTACAGTGCCCAGTTTTTGTTCATTTTTCAAATCTGATTATATATATTTTATATATACTTATGTCTGTATATATAATATATATAGAAATCTGGATATATATGTATAAAGATTTAGAACTTAAATTTTTCTCGTTTTAAGTTTCAACATCTATGGTAGATTTTTGAGGTGTCTACTGTAAAGTATTGCTTACAAAAGTATGATTATTTTTAAAGAAATATATATGGTATGTATCTTCAAGACCTAAAATGTCAGACTGGTTTATTGTTAAGTTGCATTTACTGCAATGACAGACCAATAAACGATTGCTGCCAAAACATAGTATAATAGTAGAAAACAAATAGTGATTGAACTTAAGATTTTAAAGGGAATGTTACATGGGCTTGATAAATCTTGTACATTGCTAAGTAGAGTTTTATGTGGAAAAAAAAGGGATGAAGGGCTCTATTTTAGAATGCAAATAAATTAAGAGACTTATTTTTTAATGTTAGGCAATTTTGAAATTTCATGCTTTCCTGCTTGCATGATGTGGTTGGGGTGTTGGGGGGAGAGTCTACAAATCCATATCTGGTAAAAATACAGCAAGCTATATTAGCATTAACAAGTCACTTCTAGTTAACAGTAGTATTTCACTTTATAACAATGGTACCTTGCATTTGGCACATACTCTCTTTTTATCACACTGTTCTTTATAAGATTTTCTAGGAAGCTTTCGTGAAAAAGCATAGAGAATGCTAGAAATGGAGTTATATTTATGACTAAAGATAATTTATAATACTGTCTTGGGAAATGCCGTGCTGATTGCATTAATCAAGTATTCTTGTTCAGATAGTTTTGGAGTATGTTGTCCTCCTAGAAACAGTTCGAAGGCTTGAAAGCATGGAGATATTTTATTTAATTAGTTAATTTGGTAAATATTGAATATCTACTAGCAGCAGTCATCTCCCATTTATAACTTCAGAAGGAAATACTTACAAATCTATTTTAGTTAAGGAGTAAGAGTGCTTGTCTAAGTGCTGCTTAGGATTTGTAACCACTAATATTTTTGAAATAAGACAGACTTTTTTGCAAATAAAAATCACGAGCCAACTATCCAGAAGCAAAGATTGTAAGAATGCTAAAGATACACCTAAATGTTGCTTAGCCAATTCTAGTTTATCTTACTGACTCAGTGTCTTATTTTCTATGGTTTTATAAAGATAGTTTATTGCCAAGATTAATAGAGGTTGTCTGACATTTAGGAGTAATTTAGTGCTATTTCACCAATACATACTTGTAAGTTTTATGTCAAGAATAATACTTGCTCAATTTAATTTTGAATGGGTAGAGGATAGGAGATAGAAATCAAACACATCAACATTACTCTGAAGTATAACTAGATAAATTCCTGTGTAAACTGCTTTCTTTTCATCTATTTAATATCCTTTATAATTTACATTTTTCCGGTTTCAGAAGAAACAAATTTCTTTTTACTGCTCTATGTATAGGTAAATCCCATTAAAAGCACACTTTCTCCAGATGCCTTAATAACACCCATTGTTTAGAGAAAGAAGCTAATTACAAAATATATAAAAAAGCAGATGGTGATCCAGACAGTGGGAGCTCAATCATATTCTTTTCTCTTTATAACCAGTTAAATAGGAAATCATGTACCATCAGTAGAGCAGTTCAACTTGCTTTTTAACCTGTTTATGTTAATTTAAAAAAAAAAGTGGCTTTTTCATTTTGAATTAAACCTAAGTTGGTTTCTAAAAGTAGTAAATTGACACAGCCTTCACAATTTCAACTGAAATCTAAGATCACATGATACTATGAATTTAACTGAAATGAAGTGTCTGCTTCTCAGAACCTAGTCATTAAGTCTTTAAATTATTGTCCTGTGTATTTTCATTTAGTCAGTATATTTAGCATCTCCTAAAAGCAAATCTAAGATGTGATCCCTGTCCTCTGTCCTCTCCACACACATCTAATATAGGAGATTGATGAAATACATCAGGCAAAACCTAGAAGAGGTAACAAGAAGGGTAGTATCAGGGCCTGTATTTTAGTGTGGTTTACATCACACCTTCCTGAGCCAAGAGGATTTGGCCAGGGGATTGGGGGAGCACTAAAAGAAAGGGCAGGAAGGCTCCAAGATATGGCTTTCGCCTCTGCCATGAGCAGTGTTTATACTTTACCCTGTACTTAATATGGAACTGTCCATGGGATTTAAACAAAAGAACAGCACTGAGTTGCAGTAGTCTTCCTGCCTGTTTTAACACACTCCACATTGCTGCCAGAGGATATCTCCAAAGCAGGAAATTTAGGTGAGAGAGGATTTGGATTTGAGCTTTGGGTGTTGGGAGGTTGGAAATAAGAGCACAGACTGGGAAGATAAAGTTGAATTCCACAGGACCCATAAGATGTCTTCAAGTGAGTGGGGTGCTTCTTACCAGAATAGGGAATACAAAAGTGTGGTTCTGGAGGCAGAAAGTAATGAACTCCTTGTAGGGCATCTAAGTAGTTGGAATTAGGAGAGGCCTGGTCTGGAACCATGTATCTGCTCTTCATTGAGGTGGTGCTTAGAGCCAGAAGAGATGGTATGATCCAGGAACTGTGGTAAGGAGAGGTAGACCAAATACCCACTAAGGCATGTCACATATAAGAGAAAAGGAGATCGCAAAGGAGAAGAAAGCTAAACCAGCGAGCGTGTTGGACAAACTAGAGCTTTTGAAAAATAACCACATCATGCTGCAAAGATGAGGATTACAGGGATTTCTTTGGGTTGGCACAAGATCGTTGGTGACATTTGCCAGAGCACCTCAGTGGAACAACAACCTAACTGCTGTGGATGGGAAAAGGTATTGAATTTGAGGGTGGGGGGTGGGGGGTTGTCTGGTCTTTCCAGGATCTCTAGGTGTAAAATTACATGGGTCTTTGATGAACAGCAAACATAGCCAATTATAAATATTTTGTATCACTGTCCTGGAGTGCTTTGCACAGTAATAGTTTTGTATTATATATTGTGAAGCAGTCCATGTGGTATTTTCTTTTTTAAAGGAAAATTGGACTTTTTTAGTTGAACAGGGAAATGAGGATGGTATTTTTTAGTGTGGCCTACAGATACCTACCATTTACTGACAACCTGTGCAAAGCACAGTGCTAAGTACTTAATATACATTCTTTTTAATCCTCACAGTGACCTTCCGAGTTGGGTACTGTTGTGTCTCCATCTTACAGATAAGTAAACTGAGACAAAGAGATCCTATAACTTACCCCAAGGTTTGTGGTCAAGTAAGTGTTCAAGCCAAGATTCCAACTGTGATGATGGAGATCCAACTCAGAGAAATGCTATTCTACCTCCCACTGCAAAGAAGTAAGAATTGCTGAGTGCTTACTCTGTAGTCATGCTTGAAAGAAACTTTTTTCATTTGGAATATTTCTTTAACAAGAAAAAGAGGTCTTTAAATTTGATAACCTATAATTAGACCAAACCATATCTTTTATTATAGTCCAAACCAGAACCCTTTTGAGATCAAAAGGGGTGTAATTAGTACTTATTAGGATAGGGCAGCAGCCATAAAATGGGGGCTTTCCTGGGCAAGCTGGGATGTATGGCATAGTGCTTTAAAGTTGGTTTCAGAAGAAGCAGTTGTAAGTAGTATTGACCTCCTCCCGACATCATACTCCTAGATTTTTGCACTCTTAGGATGGAAAGGAAGCATGGGTTTGTGCTGCCTTAGGGTCCACAGTTGTTGGAAAAGATGGTGAATGACAAGGAGAAGATACAAGCAATGGGTTTTAGGAAGTGGAAATGATAGAGGAAAGAGTCCTGTTAAGTCTTAGTGATGGCTCCTGAGTTGTTCCAGTCCTAAAGTCAAATAATGACACTTGAAGAAACTGACAAGTGTGTAAATAGAATATTTTCGATACAAAGATTAATAGGCATTTTTTCTCTAAGTTCAGTCTGACTACCATTTACCTAAGCTGGGAGACTGATTTTAACATATACAAAATGTGATTTCTAAGTGTGCCAACCCGAAAAATACATGGAGTCAGAGTCCATTTTCTCAGGATTTCACAGCCATTCAGTGCCACGTAATTTACTCCCAAATGATTAAACATGTCTTGATATGAACAACAGAAAGATTCCTGGTGAACTTAAGGACTATCCCAAGGTACTTAAAACCATGTGTGTCTAAGTATATGATGACCTTAAATAGATTAAGGGTATGATTAACACAAAGTAGTAACTCTGAACCACAGCTACTTCCCAGATGCTCAGATACAACATCTATTAAGGAATGTAACAGGAGAAAGGAAGAGAAAGCAAATACACTGATTTTGTAGGCTTATATAGTCAATTGTAGCCAAGCATTCTTCAGCGCTCCACTTGGTGTAGAATAATATATTTGACAGAGTGAAAGTAGATGAGAATGTTATCTTTAGGAAACTTGATATATGTGATTTAAATGTCATTATCATTAAATGTACTCAGATGCAAATTTTGAGATGTGTGCACATGGAAAGGATTCTATGTTTAATAAATGGAAGTCGGTACTCAAATCTATGATCAACAAGATTTTATGAGTTAAGGTACTAAAAATAATTGGTGGGGTGGGGAGGCGGGGAAGTTCAGAAATACATGTGATACTGATGCATCAAAAATTTCAAGTAAGGGGCACCTGGGTGGCTCAGTGGGTTAAAGCCTCTGCCTTCGGCCCAGGTCATGATCCCAGGGTCCTGGGATGGAGCCCCACATCGGGCTCTCTGCTCAGCGGGGAGCCTGCTTCCCTTCCTCTCTTTCTGCCTGCCTCTCTGCCTACTTGTGATCTCTGTCTGTCAAATAAATAAATAAAATCTTAAAAAAAAAAATTTCAAGTAAGAAGGAAAAACTAGAAAGTGCCAAAGACTTGAAAACACAACCGTATATGAAACCTGGATCATTTTTAAATCTTTTTTTTTTTTTTTTTTTTAAAGATTTTATTTATTTATTTGACAGAGAGATATCACAAGTAGAGAGAGAGGCAGGCAGAGAGAAAGGGAGAAGCAGGCTCCCTGTCGAGCAGAGAGCCCGATGCGGGGCTCGATCCCAGGACCCTGAGATCATGACCTGAGCCGAAGGCAGAGGCTTAACCCACTGAGCCACCCAGGCGCCCCTCATTTTTAAATCTTGATCAGCCTGCAAATTACCCTGCCATAAATCCTTCTAAATCAGATGGAGCTTGCAAGTCCACGAATTAGAATGCCTCTGTAAGACCATCTCTCTCTGTTCCTCCAGATAAGGCCAGTCGCCTCAAAAGCTTCATAACTAAAACCCACTGAAGAGTTGTGGGTG